TGGGCAGCTTTTCTTATTTCTGTGGGGTGGGTCATTAGTCCATCTCATTTGGTTTCCTTTCATGTCCCTATTTGCCTTTCAAGAGGAAAAGGGAGGGTGCTGCCAAAGGAGGTAGAAATCATAAATGTCAGCATAAGTTAGAGAATCTTATCATGGAAGGTCACTCTCAAACACCAAATCCTCCCAATACTTCAGCCATGGGAAACTCAAATCTCCAAGAGAAAAAGTGACTTATTTTGTCATTTTTGGGACTAGGATGAAGGCATACCAATTTCCAGTTTAATTCTTTGCTCTATGCCCATTTTCAGCTGGAGAAAGAATTCAGGCAAGGGCAGGGAATTTGCTAAGGGAGTTATCTGGACTCACTTTCACAGGAAAAGAAAAATATCTTCAATTAATAGCCAGGGGGATAGAATTATCCCAGATCACGTGACCCTTTGGTCTCAACCTCCTACCAACCAATGGATGGTAGCCTCCAGTGGCTCTCTTTGCCTCAGAGCTCCTCTAATGTGTGATAGCAGGTAAAAGCATTCCACAACCCATTCCCTGTATAAAGGCTCTGAGGCAGGTCATTCCTCACGCACTATGCTAGTTTAGGTATTTTCTGTTGGCATCTCTGGGTTCCTATTTCCTTACTTACAAAACAGGCTAATAATTACCATTGGGGGCTTGTTGATGGCTGGATGAATACACCAATACCCAGTCCATCATGGAAACCCATCAACACCATTCTTTTTCACTCTGCCAGTGCCTCATACACATGCCTTGGGAAATTGCAGAATTCTACTGCAGAGAAGAAGGATTTGTTTGGTGGGGTGTTTTGTTATGTAAGAGCCCAGGGAACAGTGGGAAAGGCTTGGGGGTGAGACTCAAGGACCAGAATCATTCTGCAAAACTTCAGAATCAGTAGATTTTGCATTTCTGCAAACTTGGAGATGGGGAAAGGAGATGGGTAGAAATGGAGATGAGGATATTAAGAGCAAATAGGGAGGAGAGTGGGTTAGGCCATGTGGACAAGGGCTGAGCCCTAGGAAGAGCATAGTCCTTTATGCCCTTCTCAGCAAGAAGATCTCTAATTCAACTCAACAGCACCCACCTGGGTGGCTTGTGGGGTGTACTGTATTGCCCTGCCAGCAGTTCTGCACAGACTAAATCTTCCTGTAGGTATTTCTGTGTACAGATTAAAGCGCAGTTGGAACTCTGGGGAAATCAGGGCAAAGTACCTGTGTTCTGTGAATTGGACGACAAAGCTAGGAACGATGAGTACATACAAGATTCAGAATTCGATGGGAGCAGAGGACTAGAGCAAAGAGTGACAAGGAAGTACAGGTCTTTATCCACCTACTCTCCTTGGTTCCAGATTGTTTATGGAACCAGAAAGATCATTTTACTTGAATATGGAAAAGTAGACCCTATGTCCAAAGGATAGAGACTCAGCCAGGTGGCAGTTGAAGGTATCTTTGCCATCTTCTTTCATGGCCATGGTAGTTTTAGCCAGGAGTCCTTATTACCTTGTAGAGGAGATACTAGGACCCTAGTATAAGGGGAAAGGTTCACATCCTAGGGTTCCAAGTGGTTTGCTGGACCCTGGGGTAGCCCAGTAGGCCCAAGAACAGTAGTCTAGGTACAAGGTGGCAGTGGGCTGGGGAATCACTCTGGCCAGGAACAGGACGTGTTACCCAGCAATGCATGGGTTTTTGTGGTTTCTCTGCAGCTAAGTGTATCTTGTGTTGGTTTACATTAGCATGTGTGCAGAGCCCTGCAACCTAGGTTCCAGCCACTGCTGGTTTCCTGCTGATGGTGGAAGCTTTTCAGCAACCACTGAGGCAGAGGACTCCCTGGAAGGTATCAGCATTTCCATCTTGGCCCTCTCTAGTAGCAAAACTCATTCCTACCCCTGGACCTTCTTATCAGATTCTGGAAAGAGGTTCTCTGTTTCCTAGAGTGTTTTTTAATGCCCACTCCCAAGGGGCCTTAAGCTGCTTGTGTAGATTCAAGACCAGCTTGATGGGGAAGAAGACTGTGGCTTCAGATATCCTCAAGATGGTTTCTAGTCTGTTGTTCATTTTCTGTCTTTACATACAGGACAGGAGAATTATAGTCTCAAGAGGTATCCAAGTGGAAGGACTATGCTAGGTGAAAAGACCAAAAAAAAAAAGAAAAGAAAAGACCAAAAGAGGCCTGACTGCTGGTGTGGAGGCCAGTTCTGGAGCTCAGCTCTTGCCCTAAGATGATGTTCCTTCCACCTCACCTTGCTAGTGTCTGTAGTGTGCTCAGCTAAGGAAGTATAGACTTGGATTACAAGCAGAGAGTCAGGGACCATACATAGCAGGACCCTGACATCTCAGTCCAGAAGCACATCAAATGGGGGACAGAAAGAGGATCCCTGGATTCTCAGCCTTTCCCCGCCATGAGCTTCCTCTATGATCTTAGGCAAGTCACCTGATTGTTGGGGCCTCAAATGTTTATTTGAAAATGAGAATACTAGTCCCCATGTTGCTTGATTTCAGGGTTGGGGCTAAGAGAAACATAAAGGAAGGTCTTCAATGAAAACTTCACAGTTCCAGTAGGGAGTATTATTAGCGTAAAAAAGTCACCTGAGCCAGGCATTGGTGGTTCATGCCTGTAATCCTAGAATACTCAGCAGGCTTAGATCTGAGGACCACAGATCCAAGCCACCCCAGGCAGGAAAAATCTGTGAGATGTCTAGCTCCAATTAGCTATCAAAAGCTGACAAAGGAGCTGTGGCTCAAGAGGTAGAGTGTTTACCTTGAGCAGAAAAGCTCAGGACAGTGCCTAGGCCCTGAGTTCAAGCTCTAGGACTGGCCTTATTTTGTCTATTGTGTTCATTAAAACAAAACAACAATTTGATGTCGGTATAATTTGTGGAGGGGAAGGGGAAAAACAAGTCGCTTAAATAAGGATACAGGTGGACCTGTTGCAACAATGAGAAGTACAAGTTGTCATGTCGAAAACGAACTTTACAACTTGGGGGGGGGGGAGTATTGGGTGGGGGGGAAGAAGGAAGGGAAGGGAAAGGTAAACAAAGGAGGAGGCTACAATGCTTGATAAGAAATGTACTCACTATCTTGCCCATGTAATTGTAATCCCTCTGTACAGTATTTTCACAATTAAAAAAAATGACCATTGCAAAACAAAATAAAACAAAACAACATAACTGCTAAAAGCAAACCAGTTTAACTCCCACTCAATCCGTGTCAGCCTACTGTAAAAGAACATTTTAATACCAAATCGCATGGGAAGGAGATGTGCTCTCGAAGCTACATTAACTCTAACTGGCCATGGGAAAAAGTGACTGCTTTGCCTTCCCCACTACATTCCACTGTGGATTGATAGGAACAGAATCAATAGTTCATGCTTCTGTACTTAGCAATGTGTCGTGATTTAACTCAGGCATTTAACTCCAAAGCCTGTACTTCCTCTAGTTCAGAGATTGGCAAACTCTGGGCCTAGGAGCCAAAGCCAGTCTAGCACTTCATTTTGTAAATAAAGTCTTAGGGGGAAAACAGCCAAATCTACTCATTTGTGTGTCATCTGGCCACTTTATCATTGTAACAGCACAGTTGAGGGGGACGTTAAGAATTGTGTAAACTTAAAATATTTACTATCTGGGCCTTTACAGAAGAGTTTGTTTACCTCTGTATTTTGCCTTGCTCCTTTTTATGCTAATGTGATTGTCTACACAGCATCATGGGAATTGAGACCACATGCCAAGTGCTAAACAATTTCAGCCCAGATTGAGATATTGTTTACAAAGCTGCAATTGCTCATCTGTTCTGAAAGATGCAGAATATTTGCCTATTAGTCTCCCCTCAATTTTTTTTTTTTTTTTTTTTTTGAGTCCGGTTATGGGGTCTGAACTCTGGGCCTGGGCGCTGTCCCTCAGCTCTTCAGCTCAAGGCTAGCGCTCTACCACTTGAACCACAGTGCCACTTCCGGCTTTTTTCTTTTTTCTTATGTGGTGCTGAGGAATCGAACCCAGGGCCTCATGCATGCAAGGCAAGCGCTCTACCACTGAGCCACCTTCCCAGCCCTCCCCTCAATTTTTAAGCATGACAAAAATAGGTCAGGGGTATCTTGAAGTATATGTCAAATATTATGCTGTATCAAGGTCAGTGGGCCTAGGGTCCCCACTGTTCTGATATCTCTACTGTGGTACCTATGATGAGTCATTCTTTTCTCAGAGCTATCTGGTTATCCAGCTGGAGGTGGACATTCTTAGATGGAAAAGACACTGGATGAGAGCTGAGGACCCCAGGGGTTTAGTCCATAGGACCATGGGCAAGACAATTCTCTTTCTGTAAGTCTGATTTTTCCTCCTCTGAGCAAGGAAAATATTAGTCAGATGATCTCCAACTATTTTATTTTCAATGTTAACTGAACTTCTCCAATCACTCCCCTTGGGCTAACAGAGACAATCCACAAATAACTTTCAGTGACTGGTAATGTAGGAAGTAAGGAGGGTAGTCTTCTTTGACAGGTGTTCAACTTCATTGCGTATTTTGGCTATTACCATTATCCTGCTGGTTGCCATGCCAGTGAATTTCCACGTGAAGCCTTAATGCTTCCTCCAGTACCTTAGTGAGGTGAGTATGGTTATTCCCATTTTAAGAGATGGGGAACAAGGCTCTGAAGTTTGGAGTATAGAATCATGTATATGGTCATATAGAATCATTGCCCAGTTTAGGATTTCTAGCTGTTAATACAGTGCTGTTTTGTGTTCCTGTCAGTGTCCACACCGTGGCTCTGCTAGAAATATGTTGTTTCTTAGCAGGAGTGCTAATGGTTGGGCGGGGAGAGGAGGGGCCTGGTGTGTGGTGAAAGGTGATCAGGTGCTGCCTGGATGAATCAAGTGCATCCTGAGCAGGAACCACCTCCACCTCACTCCTCCTCATGTTGGACACAGTCATAAGAGCTTCTGGTTGGTAATGGCAAATCATACCTTATGACACATTTACTCTAAATTCTCAAGATCTTACCTCCTTTAAGGGGAACAGTGTCAGGTGGGCTGGGAATGGAGTCCTAGAAGCAAAGAGAGAAAAGAGCAGAATGAAGATGCCAGTTGGTTGAAGCAACTTGGTGTTTTTTTTTTTAATTTTCTGTTTGGTTCTTCTCAAGTACTACGTAATTTAGAATTCACTCTTCATCTGCCATTTAAATTTTAAAAATTAATTCCCTGGCCGGGCACCAGTGGCTCATGCCTATAGTCCTAGCTGCTCAGGAGGTTGAGAGCTGAGGATCATAGTTTGAAACCAGACCCAGGAAGGAAAGTCTGTGAGACTTTTATCTCTAATTAACCCTCAAAAAACAAAGTGAGTGGAGCTGTGGTTCAAGTGGTAGAATGCTAGCCTTGAGCAAAAATAGCTCACCATCAGCATCATTCATTGACTTAATTCACTGACAGGCTTTCTGCCCATTTTTCTTGACTACTCTGCATTTCACAGGCAGGAGACATGACCACCCAGCAAGTTCATGGATCTCAGGAAGCATGATTGGAATCCCCGCTTCTCAGTTCAGGGCTTTCCCTCCTCTATGTGTGTTATTTTTCTCCATGTAGTCAACATAAGATCAAGTGAAGTTTACAAATACGTGTAGGTTTTTTCCACATTTGATTCATCTGTGAAAATATGTTGTAAACATACCCAGAAGGTACATTTCTGTTTCTCCTGTGGTTGGAAATTCTGAATTAAGTGTATATATGCCAGGTATTGTGAAGATGTCATAAATATACTGGGTCCCTGCACTCACAGATTTATTACAAGTTGAGGTCTGAATAGTATATGAATATTTACAAATATAGAACATGAATAAGCATCAGTGTATATTATATATTCATACACTCACATTAGGTTTTACAATTATTTTTGCCATAGTAAATGTAAACATATATGTAATTTTTTTGCATAAATGGATAGATTGTCTGCCAAAGGAGGGGTCCCTGGGCTTGAGTGCCAATTGAAGGAGGATAAAGAGAGGTTTAGTTCAGGTGATTTGAATGGATTCAATGGAAGTGGAGAAGCACAATTCTCCTACCACAATAAATCCCTCAGCGGCTAACTTTCCTCCAGCTCCCTTCTTTCTCACATCAGCCATGGAGACACCTCTAGTGTGCTGCCATGAGGAGGGATCTTACTTACCATTTGACTTGTACTGGTTGGGATCTCCTGTAGCACACCGATTTGAGGTATTAACAAAGGGGGTGAGGGTTTACATGGGAAAATGGAACCTCTACCAAGCTTGAACTTGGCAGCTGCCCACATCTGACTTTATTAGTTCTCTATGAATGCTGAGGAACATCTGGAATTGGCCCTTTATTTTTTATATGTTTTTTATTGTAAAAATGCTGTATGGAGGGGTTACAGTTACATGAGCAAGATAATGAGTACATTTCCTATTGAGCATTGTTGCCTCCTCCTTTGTTTTCCCCCTACTATCCCTACCCCCCTGCCACCTCCCCACTGAAGTTGTAAAGTTCATTTTCAATATAGTGTTTTGTACATCTCATTGTTACAATGGGTCAACCTGTATCCTTACTTAAGCAATTTCCCCCCTTCCCCTCCCCAAATTAGGGAAGTGTATATACAAGATAAAGGGCACTGACATCAAATACAGTGAAAACAGGGATTATACTGTGGGGAAGGAACATACAAAGAAACAAAAAAATCACATGGAACATTATAAATACATTAGAAACAATAGCAAGAAAGAAAAAATATTTGTGTCCCTATCTTGGGGTTTATTTGGCTTAACATCATCTTATATGGTCATATGTACATAGCTTTTGATTGGCTCTTTATTTCATGATGCCCCAGAAGCTATGTTCTTTGCCTTCCATGGACATCCTGTCATCTGATGGATAGATCTCTTCCCTAGCCCAATGGGTTGTACTGGCTCCTGAGAGTCTCCCACAGACAGGCAGGCAGGCAGGCAGGCAGGCAGGTAGAGCAGCATCACCCTCATCTGAGCTGGGGGAGCGACACTTGCTCAGGGGAAAGGAGGTACCCTTGCTCTGGAAGTTTCTTTCCCCTCTCCTGCCATATCTGATGATTTTATTGCCTTAGTCAAAAGTTCTTAACCTACCAACAATGCTTTGCATTTGTGGTCAGTCAGCTAGGCATACAGTTTATTCAAAAAACCTGACATCCAGTTCCCTTTTGTGTTGCCTTTGTGAGATAACCATTAGCATTTCCAAAATTAACAAATACTTAATTTGCCACTGAACACGACTATGGATTAGTGTGATATATAAATGTACGTGGAAGAATACTGACTTTTAGTACTTACAGAAAGGCTTACATTAAAATGTGGCGCTAAGATCACTGAGCTCAGTAGTTGCTCAGGCCTATCTGGAGACAATGAGAAAATGCTAGAATTTGAGAAGCATCAGAGCCATCCAATAGCAGGTGATGGAGGATGGGGAGAGAGATAGGGAGAAACTGGAGAATCATTTATTTAGTACCTGCTTCGTGAGCACTTAGGTAGACACTGCATTAACCATTGGAATCAGTGCAGTGGGGGTAGTCATTAAGACCGTCATTTAAACGATACACTTAAATATATAATATGGCTGGTAGGTGTGGCAAGAGCTATGGAAGAAAACAGCGTGTTTTAGGACAGTGCTTCTCAATTTTTTAATGTCTGTATGGATCATCTGGAGCTCTTGTTAGTGTTCTGACTACTCAGTGGGTGTGAGTAGAGCTTGGTGTTTTGCATTTCTGACAAGCTCTCAAGTGACGTCAATACTCTTGGCCCACAGAACACCTTTGATCAGTAAGAGTGTAAGAGGTGATATCAGGAAGGAAGATTTGATGTATAGGCGCATCAGGGAAGAAATGACTCTCCGTCATTTAAGTGCTTTCCTGGTTTCCTAACTTTAGAGGGCATGTTCATAGCAAGGTATCTTGGCAACACAATGAATCCCGTTGTCAGACCTTTGACTTAGGGCTCAGGAAATTTGGGACAAAAGTGTTTCTATTTTTTGTTGTTGTCAGTTGTGGAGCTTAAACTCAGGGTCTGGGCACTGTTCCTGAGCTCTTATGCTCAAGGCTAGCACTCTACCACTTTGAGGCACAGTTCCACTTTGTGTTTTCTGGTGGTTAATTGGAGGTAAGTCTCACAGACTTTCTTGCCTGGGCTACCTTTGAACTGTGATCCTCAGATCTCAGCCTTTTGAGAAGCTAAGATTACAGCCGTGAGCCAACAGTGCCTGGCCTACAGGGTTTCTATTTTGAAGAGCATAAGGTTTCCACAATTTCCCCTGGATATCCATAGTAGACACCATTAGTCAAAGTCAGAGAGGAACCTAGACATCTTTCAGTTCACCAAACTAAATTTGTAAGAGAGGCAATCAAAGCACTAGTAAGAAAGTGGCTGGTCCTGGACAGAAATTATCCAGGGTACTTTTCTGCTGCCTCAGGAGAGATGATGTCTTCAGAAGCCAAGCACAGAACAGCTCCTCTTTCTCCCCTCCTCTTTCCACAACGCAGTCCTTGCCCTTGAGTGGGGGAGAAGTGGGATTTAAGGACAGGGGAACTGTCTAAATGTGTCAAATACCATGAGTGCAGACGTTATATCGAGTGCTCTCAATGAACTCCTTTTGCAAGGTGCCCAGGGTCTTGGAATTCTCTCCCAAATCTTGCCTGGAGATTTGGACCCTGAAGAAATGTGAACCAACTCCTTCAGTGACTTGGCTTTCAGTAAGTAATCCACAGGCTCAACCCTCCCAGGCTGTCATTGTCATTCTCAGCTCTCTTTGGTAGCTCAGGAAGTTCTACCTCCATGATGATCAACCTGCCACATGTTCTAAATCATACTTCCTCTTTCTTTTTCAGCATTTATGGCTGAAAAAGCATTTGGGCATCCCAACAATATTATTATTCTTTTGTGTATAGAGGGAAGAGTGGTCATGACCAGCTTATTTGTCCTCTGGCAAAAATGTCCCCTCTCGCAATCATCTTTACTACCTACAGGTGTTTTCTTCTTTTTTAGTGACTATGATTAGAAGAAGGCCAGTAATGCTTCTTCCGGTGGGTTGTTTCAGACAGAATGAGATGCTGTACATAACAGATTAGCTATAGCTTGAAAAATGATTGCTGTTTGGAGGACTACCTTGATCCTTATTATGTACTTAATCTGTCTAATACCTTTAAAGACTCAGTCTTTTCTCACAGCAATGACTGGAGAATAGTAACAATCAGCACCCACATTTGCTTTGGATATGAAATATTCTCTATGACTGAAAATGAGTCATCAAAGGCAACCATCCATCTTTGGGATATACCACAGGGAATTTCATATCCTTTTCCTTTCTGGCCTTGATTTTCTGACTCACAGTGGATGGAGGTCTCTATAAAATTTTCAAGCTAGCTTGCCCTGGATGGTATACATCTTTATAAGGATAAATCTTTACATGATTTATCTTATTTGGTCTTTAGGTAGTTCCCAAGAATTTGGAACTGGCTAAGACTTAGCAAACTAAATGATTACGAGCAGTCTCACAGGTGAAAAACAATAGAAGACAGACACAAATTCAGACCTGCGGGCTTCAAAGCAATGCTTTGCAAAGCCCTATTGTTGCCTCTCTAGAAGAGAGAAGGGGAAAAACTGGGCAGAAAGTTCTCCTGACACCCAATAGGAAAGGGAATGAAGGCCAGAGGAAATCCCCAGAGGAAGGGATTGGTGGACTTGTGAGAGTAGGGAGTGACTAGTTTGACTTAAAGCAGTGCTTCTCCAGCTTTCAAGGAGAGCCACTGCATTTCCTGGGGTCTAGGATGGGGTCTCAGGTTTTGCAGTTCTGATGAGTATCTGTGTGACTAGCATTGCTGGGCCATGGGCCACATTTTGAGCAGCAAGGGGTTAATGATATCACTCAATAGACAAGCGAGAACACCTTGATCTAGAGCATGACTACAAAGTTGAATGTAGACTTGGACTGAGACATGGGTTTAGAAATTCTTTCTGGTCTGAAGATGGAGTTGGTGCCTTGCTACCTCAGCTTCCTCAGCTTCCTCTTGGTTGCTATC